ACAGATATCCCACTACAGATCCAATGCTAGAATTAGGGTGTGATCCCCATGCTGAAGACAATACAGATATCCCACTACAGATCCAATGCTAGAATTAGGGTGTGATCCCATGCTGAAGACATATACAGATATCCCACTACAGATCCAATGCTAGAAAGGCACATTAAAAATCAGTCATAAAATCCCAGTATCTTTCCAAGGTCTGTACTAAACTTGTTTAAAATATAGTTCTGAGTAAATATTTACAGCAAATACATTTCATGATTTTTGAGTCTTTCAAAACAATAAATTTTAATGGAAAACATTATTAAGATTGGTTTACTTAAATTCAGTATATAAACTGTCAAACTGTAATTATTTGGATCTTTGTTTGGAGCAAAGCAATTACGCTATCTGTGTCAATTATTTGGAATACTCACCAAAACAGTAATACTGAAAAACGAATCTACAAGGTAAAGGAATAAACTTGATAACTACAGTTGGAAATCATTAACAGAAGTTATGAAGACGCCAAGTTTAATTAAACAAATAAATCAGCAATAGTGCACGGGAAGAAACAAAAGAATAATAAAGACAAAATAACATTTAATGTGTCCTACATTCATGTCATAAAATTTGATACATAATAAAACACACACATATTTATAATACTGAACACAGACAGATTTGTAGCTCTAACAGATATAAAATAAACTCCTACATACACGATATAAAAGATCTTTAAGAGAACCTTTCTCATTGAAAGGCATCACTGTAACAACATACTGTCGGTCTGCCAAAGTTATGAAAGTAATGTCCAAGATAGGATAAATGTAAGGATGCTGGAAAGCCAAGAAAATTTCTAAGAATGCCCACTGAGTAGCAGCATTACAGTTTACGAGACAGTTGGCATTGATGGGAGCCATTGTTAGAAGTCGTTCTGTTTTTGTCGTTGTATCCTGTATCAAAAACCAATGTTTCTCAAGCCGACTTCCTGAAACCAAAGTAAACCATCAATACATAATCAATTTCAAAAACTAAACAAAAAGTACTATAAAGAAAAAAAAACTTGTCAGAAAGTTACCAATTATAGACAGAATTCTGTGAAAAAACATATTTGGCTATATACACTTAAACATCAAACAATTATTCATGGTTTCACATATCAGTTCTTCTTGATAACCATGCATAATCTATATGATATGTATGTATAAGTTACACCAAAAGTACCTACATTACCATTTATATCTATTGTCATATATATATTTATATGGTCATTCATCCATTTTGTATCTAAAAATATTCTTCCTAACAACTATGGGTTTAGAAGTATCACAACCTCTTAAAAACTTTCACGTTTAAGATTAGATTCTTTGGGATATTGGTTAGGGTAACAGTGAACAGCAATTGGTTTACCCAAGTGTTGTTTTAGTTATCATTTTACTGGCTTAACCAACTGTTGTTTTACTTATTATTTTACTAGTTTAACCAACTGGTTTAACACACTAAATCTATCTATATTACCATCTACACACACTATATATATCTATATTATCGTCTACCCACACTACATCTATCTATATTATCGTCTGCCCACACCACATCTATCTATATTATCGTCTGCCCACACCACATCTATCTATATTATCGTCTACCCACACCACATCTATCTATATTATCGTCTACCCACACCACATCTATCTATATTATCGTCTGCCCACACCACATCTATCTATATTATGATCTACCCACACCACATCTATCTATATTATCGTCGCCCACACCACATCTATATATATTATCGTCTACCCACACCACATCTATATATATTATCGTCTACCCACACTACATCTATCTATATTATCATCTACACACACCATATCTATCTATCTATATTATCATCTACCCACACTACATCTATCTATATTATCATCTACCCACACTAAATCTATCTATATTAGTGATTGCTAAAATTTCACAGTTTATCAACTTCTCACAAAAGCTAAAGCTATGAAAGTTATCATACAAATTCTTCACCGCAGTACAGTTACAATATCAAGAAATTCTATTAACAGCAATACCTCACAAACAAAAAATAATATTTATGTTAGTTGGTCTTCTCCAGTAATAACAAACAGCACACAAATTTAAAGGTTTGTTTTTTTACATAATGGTAAAATATGGATGTCAAGCTAACATAATCCATATTTTGATTTTTACAAGTGGATTGAGATATACTAAAAATAATTTACATAAAGAAGTATCATATTAGGAAAAGTTTTACCTTAAAATCACTTCCATACCACAACTAAAATTCCAACTATTACAAACTTACCTATGTCATTCAGATGATGTTGAAAAATATAACGTGATGACCCACGCAAGTAGTACTGACAGTTTATGAGAGCCAAATCTAGAACACACACAGAAAAAATATAGTGGCTAATGAAATACAACCAATATTTTGTAAATACAGTATGATATAAATAGATTAAGCAACAAAACTGTAACTCAGCATGTTGAACCTCATCTCACACATGGATGTAACTCAGCGTGTTGAACCTCATCTCACACATGGATGTAACTCAGCATGTTGAACCTCATCTCACACATGGATGTAACTCAGCGTATTGTACCTCATCTCACACATGGATGTAACTCAGCGTGTTGAACCTCATCTCG